GTTTTGATTTATTGTTGCGAAAATGGTTCGACCTGAAAGACTGAACTTGGAGTTTGGTGTGATTAAAGTTTACTCCGAATTTCACCTTAACTACAAAACTAATTTAGTTTGTATATTGAAACGGAAATTATGTCTAAAGTGTAAATTAAATTCACGATTTTGCATTTTAATATTTAATCGATTTGAGAAAAGTGTTGGTGAAAAAACTGATTGCTTTTGTCCTATTTTTTGCGTCTTTTTTGAAGTTTCAAGATTGTCGGTTTCAAGGTAACCAAAATGAGAAGCAACAATGAATTGAAACCGGAAGAAAAGTAGAACCAGCCAACATTGATTAAAGTAAGGAACGGAAATCTTGAGCACAAAAAGGATAAAGCTAATGGTAAAGGAAAAGTAAGATTGTATAGTTTCAGTTTTCAAGTAAAAGTAATAAAAAAAGGTTGACTGAAGGGAAGGCAACTGATAGGAAGGTAAAGGGAATCAACAGGGAGTGATAATAGCTTGGAGTTGGATATTGAAAAGATGGAGATAAAAGTGTGAGAATTGTTTGCACTTGTTCATCTTGATGAGAAAAGGAGAAAGTTGTAACAAAAAATTATTGTCGAGATTAAAATGATTAAATTGTTTGAGAAGTATCAATGAAATTGAGAAATATTTCCTTCCAAACAACTGACAATTGAAGCAAAGTAAACAATAATTTTGTAGCAACAGAATTTCTTATTGCTTTCATGATTAAACAGGGAAAATGCATAAATTTAAAGAAAAATTTCGTTATATTAAAAGTTGCAAGTTTGGAACAACAAAAAATGAATTTTCATCCAATGATATTAGCATAATATGATCAATCAGTTGAATAAAGGTTGCAGTTAATTGACTGATTGAAGGCTGGAAAAAGTTCATCAGATTATTTCAAGAAAAGTTGACAATTTTTCTTGCTAATAACGAGATTAACTCAAACTATTGTTTGCAACCTTTTCGCAAGTTTGAGCTGATAAATTGGATACAAGAATGAAAGGATCAACAGAAAAGGTTGATCATGTTAGTTGATGAGATTTAGTGGAAAGGAAAAAATGATTTTGATAAAGTAGAGCGATATTATTGAATGGGATTGATGCACAATGAAAAGCCTTTTCATCAACGGATTTCAACAAGATAGTCACTTTGAATGAATCAAATGGTGAAAGTATTAACAATATTATTATTGGTTTCATTAATGGTTCCAATGTTCAGTGTTGATTCAATAGAAGATGAACAAGAAGATAATATTAACGTTGTCCATTGAGATGAGGTTGAAAGCGAAAAGCTTATAATCAGAAAGATGGTGAAATTGATTGGGAAAAGATGAATCAATCTTAATTAAGGTAGACCAAAAGTTTGGTGGAAAAGATGAAATTAAACAAAAAAATTGTGATAATTATAATACTGATTAAAGGGTAACATTGAAATAGTCACGGATCATTTGGTTAACACTATTAGGGAAGAAAAGTTTCATCCTCTAATCCAGAGATTGATTCAATTTTTTCATCATAACTCGTTTAATCATAACCAATCTCATCAGTTACCGAACAAGTCTTCAGTTCAACATTTTCTCATTTCAGTTAATCTTCTTTATCACCATTATCATTTTTCCTTATCCATGAAACTTGTCCAGGCAAAAATCTGTTGAAATGTCCAAACTTAATATAAACATTCTTTCAATATTACAAGAAAAATGTTCTGATGGATTGGTTCATGAAACAAGAAATGTTTAAATAATAAATCAATAACTCGAACCTTGTTGACTTCAAGGAAATAATTTCATCAAATTTACACTGAATCAACTTAAGAAGTAAAATATTTCAAGTTATTATTTGAAGTTCAAAATTGCAATCAAATGAAACCGTCAAAATGATCAAAGAATACTCAACAACTCATTTAAATTGATCAATCCTTAAATAATGAAATCCTATTAAGATTCAACTTTTACTGAAACGTTTCGAGCAATTCATTTTGCAAACTTTGAACTACAGTAAAGTTAGTAAAATGTGTAAACATACTTTTTACACAAAATTTAGAGGCAAACCAAAGTTGGTGAACAATAAAACAAGTAAATAAAATGATCTTCAGATTCTATGCCATTTTAACATAATAACTATAATAAAAGTTATAAAATCATGAAAAGGAAAATGGAATCATTAAGAAAGCACAATTTGAGGATTGTTAAACTTTACGAGCGTCAGACAAAGCTCGAGATTAGCTATAAACGTCAAGTTCAATTGTGAGAAACAATAAGTTGGAAATGTTCAGATTTAAGAAGAATAATGAATGACAATTTATCGCCCACATCAGCCCAGTTGAGGGCAACAATGAAAGTGTTACCAATCGAGTTTATCTTTACATGAACAGAGAGCAAAGAGTTTTCATGGTTTGATGGAATGAAATTGGTGAAAAAAATTGCAAATATTCATCCTTCAATAAATTTGCAAATTTACAGTCATTACAATGCTATTTTATTGGCCATAACAATTTGATTGCAATTTGATTTGTTTTACATTATTGAATAGCTTTTGTTGAATAAAGAAGAAGAAAAACTCGAATCATGTTAACATTGTTTTCTATTGTCTCTTGATTGTGTATCAAATCAGCAAAATTTTCATCCAATCAAACAATGAACTTATATAACAATTTTTCGACATTAGTTCTGAGTTTTGTTTCGAAATTTTCATCTGGTTCATTTTTTTCTTAAATAACTTCATTTATTTGCTAGTTTTTTACTTTTCATTTCATGATTGACTAAATTTTTTCTTTACTTACAATTCTTTTGTTCATTTCACCTTTCGCCTTACACACTGAGCAATGGAAGAAAGTTCATCTCTCTTTATCTCCCTGAGGCTCAATCATGAAGTCTTAAAGACTATAGACTCAATTTGGTTTGAGTAGGAAGAAAAAGGTTAAGAAAAGAAATGATGAGGAATGATGTAAAGATGATGTTACAGTATGAAGATGTTGCAGGCAAATAAAAATAACAAGTCAAGTTGAGTAATAATATCAAATTGAACAATATTGCTGGCTAATAATATTTGATTGTGTGATTCAACGTAATCTTCAGCAATGATTGGAATCAGCAGAAAATTTGAGAAACAATTTGCTGATTACATTCTCATCATGGAAACAGTAATGAAACAATAAATATCTAATTTAATTAGTAGTTCAGTAGATTTAATAGGAAAGCTTTGATTGCTTTTACTTTTGGATCAAAAATTGCTGGTCAAACAAATGTTGTGTTTTGATTGATCCAAACTGCTTGTGATACTTTGCAATTGATTGCCAATTTGGATCAACAATAATAAGTTCAATTAAGAGTTAAACTTTTTGATTGAGCAAAATGGTCAAATAATGATGGAACTCGAGAGTCGGGAAAAAACAATGAAATCAATTAGACAAGAGTAAGCTTGTTTAGCTATTTTAGGTTGACCACAAAATGGACATTTGCAATATCAATCGATGGCTTTTAATGATGAAAATGGTTAATCACTTACAGAAGGTCAGTAATGATCAGAAGACATTGGAAGAAGTTGAAACTCGATTGTTATTTTGCGGCAATCTTTCGAAGAGAAAATTCTGTGAATGAATTTCTTCTTTTCATAATTATCATCATTTTCAACTTTTCTGGATCTTTTTTTTTCTGTTTCTTGTGAAACATTTCCAGACGAAATTCCCTGTTCATTTGGATCATTAATAACGCTTGAAAGTAACGAACGAAAAGCCACTTGGATCATTTTTTCTTTTCTTTTTCTTCTGTTGGCATACAGAACCGGAAACATTCCATTAACGTCGGAAGTTGCAGGGAATTCATTTGACAACAAAAGTAACACTTTCTTATTGGGTCAGAGTCTATTTAATGTTAACAAAAGGGTTCAAATTGTTGGCTTTCGTTTGTTAAATGAAACTGCGAATTTCATGGAGAATCATTTTTTTTTCGTAACTCAGTGATTAATTGATCAACTAAATAATGGAATGAAATTTATTCCAAAACTAATGATCAATTCATTGCAATATTTGCAACAATTCTTATTCTTGTTCTGAACGTTTACTCTTTGTTGTTGGTCAACTTTTGTAATTAGTTTCATTGTTGGTCATCTTTTTCCTGTCATAACAATGAATCTGAAAATGTCAACCTTTGGTTTGGAAAAGCAAATTATGATGAAAATTGTTCATCCAGTTGTTTTGATCAACAATTGTCTACTGTTATTGACACTTAACAGTGAAATGTGATCACGATTGGGTTACATATGCAAATGAATACCAAACATTGTACAACAGTTATCATTACATGACAATTGATATTGGCTATTGGGAGACAATGAATGCAAAAATGATCAATATGTTTGATCGTTTGATGAGATTTGTTGGTCAAGATATGAGATGATTTAACCAACATTCATTGTATCTCATAAATGATGAAAGTAATGTTCGGTAAATAACAGGGTTAACCATCATTTTTGCTTTTCTCATTGATATTTATCATTACCATCATGTTGCTAGTAATTATTTTTATTCATCTCAATCAACAATAATACTCTTTGCACAAGCAAACAAACGGCAAACAAAAACTTTTTTTTCTTCTTCTTCTTTTGCAAAACCTAAATGATAATCATCGAGTTTTAGTATTTAATTTGTTGATGTAACAGAAAGGAGCAAATGAAGAAAAGTTAATTTCGTTACTCGCAAAATGAATCATTTCTTTACCTTCTCTTCATGAACATCTTTCAATTGTGTCGATATTATTGGTTATGTTGGAACTACGATAATCCAATTTTATCAAGTTAGTTTTTCGGATGAATGAACCAACACAATTGTAAGCAATCAATTTGATCATTAGTATCAACTAAATTATAGCTCTTATAATTGCTTTTCTTGGGATAAAGCTTTTTGTGATAATTTACGCTTCCATCAGAAGTAAGAGTTTCATCTGAATAGATGATTAATTGGCTCTCTTTTGTTGAGAAAAGGTTCAAGCTTACCTGTAAATTGGATGGTGCATGAGTGTAACTCGAGTCGCAACTTTGGCCTTTTCTCGAAGACCAACTTTGACACCTGAAAGATGAGACGAACATTAGATTATTTGAGCATCAAGTTTGGAGGGAAATTTTTCAGCTAAATGTAAACATATTTAATCCAAGCAACTCTGGTAAAAATGAAAAGTTGAACCATTTGATGCAAAGTTGACCAATTGCTTTAATCTCTGTTGATCAATGTTAATGAATAGCAATTTACAACTCTGTTGGCTGGGAATTTATTTCCAGGGTTAAGACCAAGTTGGTCAAGAGTCAGTTTGATCCATGTTAAGCTATTCTTTGGAAACAATTTTATGCTGTATCAACTATTAATCTCGAGAATGTGCAAATGGTTCGAACAAACTAAAAGTCGAATTTTACAATTTCAAGCTTTCTTGACCTCATCTTGTAAAGTTTACATGAAATCTGGAAAATTCAAGTTTCTCTTTAAAGTTTTCACCCTGGTTAAACGTACCTTTGAGAGTTTAAACAATTGCTAAACAGGTACAATAAAAGTGATGAGAATGCTGGCATTGAATGAATAATGATTGGAAAAGTTTCTTCAGGTTGATAAAAGGCTTGAAGTTGAACCTTTAAACCGTAAAACTAAAGTTTCGTAAATTTATATAAATGGAAATTGTTTGCTCATAAAATTCAAATGAAATGATAACGAAAATGTTGATTATTTGGAAAGGAAAAAGGCATTAAAATCAAGATTAATTGTTGAAGTTAAGATTAAACACTATGCAGGGTTCAATGAGCATTCAACTGTCAGTTATTAATAAATGCTGGAATCTCTTAACTCCCAGGTGATAATGCGATAATGATAAAGTTGTAGAAATATTAGTTTTCCTTTTTGCAATCAAATTATTGGTGAGAATGTTTGCCTTCTTCTCAACCATTTATTCTGATAATTATTGATATAATTCCAATGGTGAATAGTTGGGAATTAATAGGAAATAGCAAAATGGTTTCCAGGAGATTGAAAGTAGTTGGTAATTATTCAACGATTCATCTTTTCCTTCATCATATCAAATCATCAAATGTGCCTGTTATTGAAAATGAATTAACATATCCAAATGAGCCTTTATTAATGCCAACAACAGTAATGAGAAGGATAATTGAAATGAGTAAATAACTGTTTTCCATGAGAAGAGTTGTTAAGAGATTATTCAAGTAAACAGAAGTTGTAAGAAGATTAAATCGATATCAAGATTGTCAATGATGTTGATGGTGAATGAACATTCAAGAATGAAAATCAATCAATCAACCAATTGTATTTGATTGATTTACGTTGACGCTTTTATTCTCATCATTTCATGTGTTCACATCTTTTCTCTGTAAATGAGTTTTGAATGAACAACGATAAAACTCTGTCGATAGAGTGATTTTTCAATGGTAAAGTCGTGCTTAATTGCTACAAGAAAGATATTTGTTGCTTTGCAAATGGATTATAAATGAAGGCAATACTAACGATGGATTATTAATGAACCAAGTGATATCACTTTAGATCAATAATGCTCATGAGATTGAGCTATAATTGTCTGATACTCTTCAAGAGAAACTAATTGCAATTTGAATTGACGGTGAAACTCACCAGTGCTTTGTAAAGTTCAGATTGAGTTTCGAGGTTTTATTTGTAATGCGAAATAATCTGAAAGTTGGTCCAGCTATTATTTGAACTTGTAGCATTTAAGTCAAGAAAAAGACAGATTTACTGAGTTGTTTTGAATTTTGCTTTTCTCAGCAAAACATTTTCGAGTGGAACAAAAGTGTCAAAAGTGCGTATCAATCAAAGTGGTTTAAATATTTACATTCAAATGAGACCACAATTTGTTTACCAATTCAAGTGAGGAAATTTCATTTTCCATCGTTTATCATTGTTATGGAACAAATTACCTTCAATTGTTAACATTTTCCAAGAGAAACATTTGGTAACATTGAAATGAGTCTGAATACCATTTTGAAAGACGTGAAAAAAGAGCAAAAAAGTCAATGAAAAAGCGTTGAACCTAAATTGTTATCTAGTTTAATAAAGAGGACAATTTATCTCCTTTTTTAAGTGAAAGGTTTAGGTTTTGTATGTAAAAGTAAAACTGAGTTTAAAAGAGTAAAATTGTTGACTTCAACAACGTTTAGGAAAAGGCTCAACTTTTTCCTCCTTCAATGCAATTCAATCTTTAAATGAAAAGAGTAACTGAATGCATGTTTCATCGCAACTCTGGTTTTGATAATCTCTTTTTAAATGATCACATTTTGCTATTTAACAAGCAAAAATCATAAAATAAATTGGAACCAAAATGAACAGCAAAGTGTTTCAATTTCAGCGCATCATGAAGAATGAAGCAAAATGAATTTAGAAATTAGTCGATTCGATTTAACAAATTTCTTGACGAGGAATGAAACGGAAATTTGATCATTCTTTCAAATTTGATAAGTTTTCAATGCATTCTGAAGTATCTCGTATAGAAAGTGAACTTTTCAAGTTGCACATCGAATTGACAGAAACAAGATTGACTAATATATATTTATAAGATTACGATATTGTTCAGGGCTGTGATTCAATAAAACATGTTTGCTTCGAGTTTTTTCATTTCGTAACAATCGATTCGAGATGATATGAAACAGTAAATTGATAATCTCAGTTCAATATTGTATGATTATAGCGATAATGAGATGGCATCAATAGGCAAGTCTAAATTGATGTCATAATAGTTGAATAAAGAGTAAACTAATTTCTTGGAAAAGAAAAAAATTTCACCTTTTTTTTCTTTCATGATGTCTTCTGATAGAATGAAGCCTTTTCTCTGCTTTCAGGTTATGATAACTATCAGTGTGTTAAATCGTTGATGTTCAGCAGCCGTTAAGGCGATGCCATGAAAATTAACTGAATGTGAATCAAAGGCAAGTTATGGGAAAAAAGTGGAAATGAATCAAATCAACTTTTTGACTCATTAAACATCATTAACGCTCTTGAAGCAAGAAAAGCTCATCAACAACTGATTTAACTTGATGGTGATTATCATGTTGATGGTTCAGCCTTTTCATATAATTGTAAAATCAAGAAATTCTCATTTCAATTTACAAAATTATTAACTCTATTTATTGAGGATTGAGATATAATTTTGATTATTCTCTCGAATTAACTTGACAATTTAATCTGTTCAAAAGAGATTAACTTTAATGCAACTTGAGTTACCTTGGAAGGTAAACTCATAACCTTTTTTACCTCTTTGCACATTTTTTTAGCGAAAAAAGTAAATCAAAATGAAGATGACATTCTAATAACATTGCAACCTGAACAAAATCACAATTAAGGTTGAAATCGATTGTCTAATAAATCATAATAAATCTCGAGATTCAAAATTAGATTAAGTAAATGATAGAAATGAAGAGAAGATCATTTCAGAGAAAACTTTGATCTTAGAAGTTCTCTAATTTCGTTTCAATTCGACACAGTTCATAGTCGACAGTTTGAACTTGATTTAGATTGAGATTCCAATTTCATTTGATTAAGTGATGAACTTGTTTCTCTGTGTAGTTAATTAATCGATTGAACTTGTGTTGATGGATCAATTGGATTATTCAATTTGTGCGATCTATTTTTATCTTTGGTCGTTATTTTGGTTCTTAATTTTTGCGTTTGATTAAAAGTATTTCAAAGCTCAATGCTAAAAATTATTGATTAGACAACAAATTACCTGAAGAGTTTATTAAGATTTCATTCGAGTGTAATGCTCTTTGAACATTATGCGAATACTCAACTTGCTGTTAGTCAACAGTAAGACATTTTAAGTATGCGATTGAATGAACAAGTTGAAATCTGGTTAAAATTGAACTGAGAAAAAAAGTTAGATCAACAAATTAAATCTTGAATTTCATGAATATTTGTGAGAAGAGAGGAGAAATTATGAAAACATGATAAATGATTTATAAGCAAACAAGTATTCACTGTGAACATTGAATCCCTGATAACTGATTTAATTATAAACTGAATATCTCAATGAGGTTGAAATAGATGTTGAAATGAATCTAAATAATTTTCATTATTTTGTGCGACAATAAACTCTTGAAATGAATAAGGATTCGATTTCAAGTCGATTCCAATAATTGAAATGATAATCAGATTAGAATTGAAAGTTTGAAATTATCCTCACGAACGTTTTGGATTTGACAAAAGAAAAGTTCAAAGTTGAATTATTTGACATGGAAAAATAAACTTTGTTCATTGTCATGGATAGCAATCATGAAAAAAAACTTATTGCAAGAAGGTGAGGTTATTTGAAAGGTTTATTTCGATAGTTATTCTGAATATTCTGTTTACTTTCATTTTCTCATTTCAATCAATCATGAAGATAATCAAAAACTTAGATATTGCCAGGGAAGATGTGAATACCCCAGGGAATGCGAGGTTATAGAGCACCACAATGTGTTGGATGTGCACCTGAAGGTGTCAATAACGATAGATTAGATAATGATAACAATAACAAAAGGAAGAAACAAAAAAAACTTCGTCAGAAGTCACTTTTCAGCTTTTCATAATCTAAAAAAAGATCCAATTTTATGGACATAAAAATAAGAGTAATTAATGAAAAAAATCTTGATTTTCAGGAAATTGAAATACGTTCAGAGTCGTTTCGGTTTTTTGTAAACTCAGAAATTGTGATTGAAAAACAATGAAGTTAATTATTCACTTGGTATAGACTTGTTGACAAATTTTCAGATTTGAATGTCGACCCTTTGAAGTATACAACGTGATTAAATATTCAATGTCAACCAAATTGAATGGGTTCTCGAGACCAATCAACTCTCAAGGTCATTCAAGATCACTCCGTTATTCGACCTCTAAATGACATTTGAAAACCATTTCAGTCACATGTTCACAACTCTAACCATTGCAAGATAACTGAACGGTATGGAAACACTCATATCCTCAAGCTAGCATGAGTTGTGAACATCTAACAAACTCTGACCAATCTGAAAAATTGTGTACTCAGAAATGACCGCCAAATGCCAATTAAAAGTCAAATGAACTTGAGC